TAGCACAATATCTCTTCTTTCCTGTTCTTTTCGTTGGGTTTATTTTCAGTGTTTGGAAAGATGCTTTGGCCTTCAGTCTGTGTAAGTTATGTCATTTTATACATGAGTAATCTGATTTTAATATGTCATTACAGAATAAGAACTACTCTTTCTAAGTTAGAGATAACCTCATTCGTAGGCACAATAAAGTCATTTTGCAGTGTTATTTCAGCAGTGCTTGGACAGCACAGAGGAGAAAGATTTTTGAGGGAATAGTGTGTCTATGAAAGAGTAAAAGAGGACACAAAAGAGAAAGGGAATTGTAGAGAGTAATTTTATAGGCTTCATAATTTGCCAGCTGTGTTTTATTTATTATGCAGTGGATTTGGACAATGTTTTAATTATTTTTTCATTTGAGATGGTAGCCCTGGATTCAAAATCCTTTCATTGAATAAATAAGTTCCATTTGTTGTTTTCTGCAAAAATGGTTTTTAAAAATAGTAAAGTATAGTAAGGATTACACAGCTTTTTCTATGCAGAAATTACTCACAAAACTATTTAAATAAATCTTAGTGACAATCTTGGGAAGAGGTAATGGAAACAGGATATTCTTTGAGGGGAGGTAGGAGTGTCCCTGAGTGTCCTCAGAATGTCTTAGATAACTTTAAGAAAACTTCACTGGTTTGTAATAGAAAAATTCAAGGTCTTCTTGGGAATGTAAATTGACATTAACATTTGTAGTTCTCTCTGTCTGAAGCATTCATCAGAAAGTATAGGTGACCTTAAGTGACAGTCTTGGAAAAGCTCTAACTCTGGGAGAATGAAAGACATCTTGCTAGGGACAGCATGGTGGCACTTTAGTTGTAAAGGAAAGAAGAAATCAACTGAAGATATTTTTATCTTAAAAATACGAATTCTATTTCACCACTACTACCACTAAAGTGCCCTTTATTTAAAAAGCTACACTGCGCTGTGCCACAGAGAAGGGTGCCTTGAACTGAGAAACTTAATAAACTAACTTACCTTCATTAACAGAAAAAAAAAGCCAACAGAAAAAATTTAAATTGAAACTTCTTAGAAAATTATATATATGTATGTGTATGTACACACATGTGGACATACAAAGAATGAAAGCAAAAATAAAAAGAAAAATCTAAAAGATAAATTACAAAACAGGAATACTGAAAGCCAGTGCTTGAACATAAGTAACCTATATTAAACAATCGTTTTACGAAAGGACACCCCCAGATGGACATTTAAAAACTCAGAATTGTGATAAACAAATAACATGTAGATGTGTGTAACAGGAGTTGATTGAATTCTGGAAAGAAATTGACAAAAAAGACAAAAACCATCTTAGAAGTGAAAACTAAATTACAAAGTACCCAAGGGGAAGATAGATATTACCAAAAGTTCAGTAAAAGACATAAAGAACAGAAATGAAAGAGTCAAGAAAATAAGAGATAAAAAGGAACAGAGAGAATATGGTAGGGAAGATCCATTGTATTAAATTCACTGCTTAAACTAGAAAACCAAATGAAAATTAATATGAATAATACTCAATATGATAACTCTTTTCAGAAATAAAATACAGAATTTCCATATTGAAAGGACTTCTGCTCCTGTGTACCTGGGAGAACTGATCAAGGAACAGCCAATTCTTAAGGCATATCCTAATATTAGACCTTAAAATAAAAAGGGAAAGAAGGCCAGATGAGCTTCCAAGTAAAAAAGTAATACCCAAAATTAAAAATACATTAAAATGAAAATTATTTAAATGAAAAGAACATCAAACTTGATAACAACATACAAAACAAAAAAACCCAAAGATTTTCAAATTTAAAAATGAATAATCATTTTCATTGATTGTAAGATATTGAACAAGTAAAAATTCATATGTCCATAGCGATACTCAGGATTACTTGTAAACTGTGCTGTGTTTTGGAAAAAATGTTGCAGTTATGAAAGAAAAATTCAGAATATTCTTGGTGCTAAGTGCGGGAATATTTAGATCGACGGTCCGTATTCACAACTGATTTTCAAATGATGCAACAAAAAAAATAATTAAAAAATAGAAAATGTGTTTGGAACTTTCTATAAATTCTTTATATTTTAAAAAAAAGCTACACAAAATAATCACTAAAATTTCAAATATTTTTGTGTAAACTAAAAAATATCTGTAGTATTGACTAAGAAATGTTTTGTGAATATAACAATGCCATCTCTACATGGTTACTTTAGATTTCAGAAGAACTGATAAAAGAGTAATTTTTTCATAGTTTCTTCACACTCTTAGAATTACTACCAATGATCTAATTTTCTTCCATTTTTCAGCAGCTATTTATGTGAAAACTGTGCGTCCTTGATAGGAATCAGGACAGTGGCCATCCAAAGGAGTCTTTACTGTATTCTCTTCACTGTAGACACCAGAAAAAAAGAAAAAAAAAATATTTCCATTTTTCACTAAAGAATGTCCTTGATGAAAAGGAAAAAAAAAAATTTTAGTTCTTTAACCCTTTTTTAAAAAATATTATTCTTGATAAGTGCTTTTTCAGATACCTGATTGATAAAAACTTTGCTGTCATTCTGTAGGTTTTCTTTGTTTTGTTTCTTGTTTTGTAACACAAAGGTTTTTAAACATGATTTAATGGCCCAATGAATTTTTTTTCCTTTTGTTGCTGTGTTTTTATAAATGGAAAAATTATGGTAGAGTTTTTTAAAATGTACATTAAAATGCTTTAAAGCATTTTTTTTGTTGTTTTTGGTCCAGGCTATTTATTTATTTATTTGCTTGTAAAATTACTGATAGTTTGCTAAGTCTCCATAACAAGCACAAGACTGCGTGACGTAGACAAACGTAATTTTCTCGCAGTGTGGAGACCACAGGTGCTGTAGGAATTTCTTGTAAGGCCTCTGTCCTTGGCTTGTAGATGGACATTTTCCTCTTGTGTCTTCACATGGCTTTTACTCTGTCTCTGTTCCAGTCTTCTGTTACTAGTCATGTTCTACTAGGACTGACCCTAAAGACCTGTTTAACCATACCTACTTCTTTAAAGACCTAGTCTAGGAAGATAGTCACATTCTGAGGTCCTGGAGGACAGGCCTTCAAAGTGTAACTTTTAGAATGTTAGGTAGGGACTAATAAATAACCATTTTAACCATTTTGAAGTAAGCATACAGTTCATTAGCATTACATTTACATTATCTTGCAACCATCACCACCATTCATCTCTAGAACTTTTTTCATCTTGCTACTTGTACCTCTGTTCATGTATTGTGGCTTTCTCCAATTGTACTTTGTTTCTATAAGATATAATGTTTTGAGGCAGTGTTTTTTTCCCAGCTATTAGCAAGAATCTTCAAAGTTCCCCCAAATTAAATTAATTGTCTTTATGCTAAACCTGAAAAATGTGCACAGACTTTTACCTAGGTGTAAGAGGTTCTTAAAGCTCATATACAGAAATTTGTGTTTGTTGGTATATCTGTCTTTTTCTTGAGAAAGGCACACATTAGTACCAGAACTTTGCACTGCAAACCTGAAATTTAGGTCAATCTGGTTTCATTCATTTTTCAAAAAACTCAAGGGTTTAGTTTTTTTAATCTTGAAGTTCGAAGGAAGACGAATTAAATTTGAAATTTGACTGTGTAATTCAAGAAAAAAAGTAAAAAAGACTGTTTAAATATGGTTAGGGCTTACTGTCTTGAAATCTTGTGTTTATTTGCTATTGCCAAAGAAGTCAATAATTTTTAAAAAGGATTTTACCAAAGTGTTTTCACTTGTGAAGATTTTTAAAAATTCCTATTTCTGGTCATGCTATTTAAAAATTTAATTTTTTTTTTTTTTTTTCCTTTTATTATTTATATGTGCATACAAGGCTTGGGTCATTTCTCCCCCCTGCCCCCACCCCTCCCTTACCCACTCGCCCCCTCCCTTCCCCCCCCCCTCAATACCCAGCAGAAACTATTTTGCCCTTATTTCTAATTTTGTTGTAGAGAGAGTATAAGCAATAATAGGAAGGAACAAGGGATTTTGCTGGTTGAGATAAAGATAGCTATACAGGGCATTGACTCACATTGATTTCCTGTGTGTGTGTGTTACCTTCTAGGTTAATTCTTTTTGATCTAACCTTTTCTCTAGTTCCTGGTCCCCTTTTCCTATTGGCCTCAGTTGTTTTAAGGTATCTGCTTTAGTTTCTCTGCATTAAGGGCAACAAATGCTAACTAGTTTTTTAGGTGTCTTACCTATCCTCACCCCTCCCTTGTGTGCTCTCGCTTTTATCATGTGCTCAAAGTCCAATCCCCTTGTTGTGTTTGCCCTTGATCTAATGTCCACATATGAGGGAGAACATACTATTTTTGGTCTTTTGGGCCAGGCTAACCTCACTCAGAATGATGTTCTCCAATTCCGTCCCTTTACCAGCGAATGATAACATTTCATTCTTCTTCATGGCTGCATAAATTTCCATTGTGTATAGATACCACATTTTCTTAATCCATTCCTCAGTGGTGGGGCATCTTGGCTGTTTCCATAAGTTGGCTATTGTGAATAGTGCTGCAATAAACATGGATGTGTAGGTGCCTCTGGAGTAACCTGTGTCACAGTCTTTTGGGTATATCGCCAAGAGTGGTATTACTGGATCAAATGGTAGATCGATGTCTAGCTTTTTAAGTAGCCTCCAAATTTTTTTCCAGATTGGTTATACTAGTTTACATTCCCACCAACAGTGTAAGAGGGTTCTTTTTTCCCCGCATCCTCGCCAACACCTATTGTTGGTGGTGTTGCTGATGATGGCTATTCTAACAGGGGTGAGGTGGAATCTTAGCGTGGTTTTAATTTGCATTTCCTTTATTGCTAGAGATGAAAAATTTTAATTTTTTTAAAAGATTATTGGAAATGCTTATTATTTTAAAAACTTGCTTTTAATATATACATTTAAATTTTTTACTTTTGGCATAAATATTTATAATACTTAAATTAGTGTTTGCCTTATTGTTGTGTTTTTTAAATTCCTTGTTACCAGCTATAAGGAAGACCAGGTGGATGAAGAACTAATGGAACCTCTGAAATATGCTGAACAACTTCCTGTGGCTCAGATAATACACCAGGTTTGCTTTCCATTTTATTCTTTTGAAGGAAACAAGATTTTTAATCTCTGAAAAGTAATTGCTTTTGTTAGGTTTTTCAAAATCAATGTGCTCTAGCTGAAAGGCATTCCAGGCTGTCTATTCCTATTTAGGCTTCACCTATTGCAGCTAAAAGTCTCATTCAAAGCACAGAATTAAAAGGCTACTTGCTGTGTAACACTAGAATTCTTACTTACATAAAACACAGGGTAATCAAAATTATCTTTTGTGTATTCTTAATAGCAAAACTTAATTTCAGAAAACTTTCATTTTGAACCATTGTGTAGTACCTGCTAGTGACAAGGAGTAAGAGCTAAAAAAATATCATTTGGTATAATTTTTTGGAGTAGCTAAAGAGAGAAAATAATCTTGCCCTACTTTCCCCACCTTACCCCGTTATCCAACTTTATACAGTGCAATTCTAAATGTCATGTGGACAATTTGTTTATGTTTAATCATAGTGACTCTATCATACATCTACATAATGATAATCTTAAAAAACGCAGTGTTGTTAAGTATTTAACTTTAATTTTGACAGCATATAACCTTTGCCTTTCTGGCCAAAATCTAATAATTTTAAATGGTCTGTTGGCTAGAATTATAGCCTTTTGACTTGGATTTTTCAGATCCTTATAGATTATAGAAGACATTAAAATGTACTTAAATGTCATAATTTCTCAGAATTGTTATGAATAGTAATTATTACTTAGTTTTTCCATATGTCTTATTTCCAATCAAAAGAATTTTTGTTTAGCTGATAGGGGTCGATTAGAAGTGTGAGTTTGAGCTTATTGAAAGAAACAGACTTTTAATTTAAAATGTTGGTTATATAGATGTTGTCATTGATATTAAAACTTAGTGTTAAAATGCTGTGAGAAATTACCAAAATTTCAGAATGGTCAGAAATGTGCCCCTTTGGGAAATTCATCTGTGCAATAGTAATTGGGTCCAGTTTATATGTCAGGAATTCCCTAGTGTTGTTAAATGACCTAACAGTCTGCAAATGTCACATTTAAAATTCTGTCTTCATGCCTCTCAGCATAAATGAATTAAATAGCAGAGCAGGCAGCAAGTCAATATGTTCTTAACAGTAAGAGTGAGCAATGAAACAGTTTGTGGTTTGTTCAGAATAGGTAAATAGAATCTGCCCAAAACACTTCACCTAGAATAAAATCTGAGAGCAGAAACAAGAATTAACCTTTAAGATGGTTGACCAGATGAAATGTCAATAATATTTTTATAACAAGAATGAACCAATAAGCTACCTGGGTTATATAACAGTTGTGTTTTGCAGTTGCACACTGTGTGAATTCAAAGATGAAAAATTTGACCCTGGTGAAAATTTTAAATTGTGTGGGTATTTTTAGCAGTATGAAAGATTTATTAATTTTAACCATGAATTATAAACACTGTAATTAAAATTCTTAGTGCCTGACTTTATAAAATTTCAATCCTTAAGAAATACTGCATGATAGGAATTTACTTTTTAATTGAACAAAACTAACTCCCTTCTCAATTAAGAAGCACTCAGGGAAAGTCACTGTTAATACCAGAGTCTTCATTTATTCTTATTGTTATTTCCCTTTTGTGAAGGTATTATAGAAGAGAGGACTGAGTCTCAGTCATTTGAGTAACTTGATTCTTATGTATGATACACTGCTTTTTTAGAATAAGGAGCTAAAGTTAGGATTCTCACTGCTGCCATTTTGCACCTCCAAACTACTTACCATTTTTTTCTAGTGGTCCTAGCAAGTATGAGTATAGATTTGGGAAACACAAGAGACTGAAGTTATGAAAAATAAAACTAATATGAGAATCTGATAAGATAGCCAGATAACAGCTAAGTAAAATTGTTAGCTTCTTTATATTTCCAATAAATATGCAGAAATGTAAATGGGAAACCTTTCTTTTTTTTTTTTATTTCTTTTATTCATATGTGCATACAATGTTTGGGTCATTTCTCCCCCCTTCCCCCTGCCCCTCCCTTTCTCCCATCTCCTCCCTCTCCCTCCCTACCCCCTTGCTACCAGGCACAAACTATTTTGCTCTTATCTCTAATTTTGTTGAAGAGAGAGTATAAGCAATAATAAGAAGGACCAAGGGTTTTTGCTAATTGAGATAAGGATAGCTTATTCAGGGAGTTTACTCACATTGCTTTCCTGTACATATGTGTTACATTCTAAATTAATTCTTCTTGAACTAATCTTTTCTCTAGTTCCTGGTCCCCTTCTCCTTTTGGCCTCTGTCACTTTAAAGTTTCTGCATTAGTTCCTTTGCATTGAGAACATCAAGTGCTATCTTGTTGTTTTTTGTTTTGTTTTGGGTTTCTTGCCTATCCTCATACCTCCCTCATGTGCTCTTGCCTCATCATGTGATCAAAGTCCAATCCCCTTGTTGTGTTTGCCCTTGATCTAAAGTCCGCATATGAGGGAGAACATACGATTTTTGGTCTTCTGGGCCTGGTTAACCTCGCTCAGGATGATGTTCTCCAGTTCCATCCATTTACCTGCAAATGATAAGATCTCATTCTTTTTCATGGCTGAGTAGTATTCCATCATGTTTAAATGCCACATTTTCTTAATCCATTCATCGATAGTGGGGCATCTTGGCTGTTTCCATAACTTGGCTATTGTGAATAGTGCTGCAGTAAACATGGGTATGCAAGTGCCTCTGGAGTAACCTCTGTCTCATTCTTCTGGGTATATCCCCAAGAGTGGTATTGTTGGATCATATGGTAGATCTATGTTTAGATTTTTAAGAAGCCTCCAGATTTTTTTCTAGAGTGGTTGTACTAGTTTGCATTTCCACCAGCAGGGTAAAAGGGTTCCTTTTTCCCCGCATCCTCACCAACACCTGTTGTTGGTGGTGTTTCTAATGATGGCTGTTCTAACATGGGTGAGGTAGAATCTTCCTGTGGTTTTGATTTGCATTTTCTTAATGGCTAGAGATGGTGAGCATTTTTTCATGTGTTTTTTGGTTATTTGAATTTCTTCTTTTGAGAAAGTTCTGTTTAGTTCATTTGCCTATTTCTTTATTGGTTCATTAATTTTGGGGAAGTTTAGTTTTTTGAGTTCCCTATATATTCTGGTTATCAGTCCTTTGTCTGATGTGTAGCTGGCAGATATTTTTTCCCACTCTGTGGGTGGTCTCTTCAGTTTAGAGACCGTTTCTTTTGTTGAGCAGAAGCTTTTTAGTTTTAGGAAGTCCCATTTGTTTGTGCTATCTCTTAGTTGCTGAGCTGCTGGGGTTCCATTGAGAAAGTCCTTGCCTGTACCTATTAGTTCCAAAGTATTTCCTACTCTTTCCTGTACCAACTTTAGAGTTTGGGGTCTCATATTAAGGTCCTTGATCCACTTTGAGTTAATACTGATAAACATGTATAGGGTGATAAACATGGATATAGTTTCAGTTTTTTGCAGACTGCTAACCAGTTTATGGGAAACCTTTTCTGTCACAACAATGAAAAGAACTGTATAATAATTATAATTAAATTTAACACATAAACCATAGGACTTACAATAGGAATCATGGAAACGTATCATGTTTCCAGAACAAAAGGCATCCTGAATACTTGATGGTAGAGAAGAAGAAACAATATCATAAAAGTTTAAATTCACTCAAATTAGCAATTTTAATTCTAATGGAAACAAGTTTTGTTTTTTTAAACACTGGGGAAAAAATGACAGTGTGATTTATGTGGAAGAATAAATGTTTAAGAATAACGAAATAATGCTGTAAAACGAGGATTTACTGTACTAGATATCGGAATATTATCTGAAAGCCAATATAGTCAGTTAAACATGGTTTAGATAAAAAAAATAGACAAATGGGTCAAAAGAGCACAAAGGAGGAGTTGTTTGAAATTTTATTGATTAAAATTCACAGAAGCAAAGACAAAAACCACTTGATCATCTCAATAGATGCAGAAAAAGCCTTTGATAAGATCCAACACCATTTCATGATAAAAGCTCTAAGAAAACTAGGAATAGAAGGAAAGTACCTCAACATTATAAATGCTATATAAGACAAACCTACAGCCAGCATTATACTTAATGGAGAAAAACTGAAACCATTCCCTCTAAAATCAGGAACCAGACAAGGATGCCCACTATCTTCACTCCTATTGAACATAGTACTGGAATTCCTAGCGAGAGCTATTAGGCAAGAAGAAGGAATAAAAGGAATACAAATAGGTAAAGAAACTGTCAAAATATCCCTATTTGCAGACAACATGATCCTATACCTTAAAGACCCAAAAAACTCTACTCAGAAGCTTCTAGACATCAATAGCTACAGCAAGGTAGCAGGATATAAAGTCAACATAGACAAAATCATTAGCATTTCTATATACTAACAGTGAGCAAACGGAAAAAGAATGTATGAAAACAATTCCATTTACAATAGCCTCAAAAAAAATCAAATACCTAGGTGTAAACCTAACAAAAGATGTGAATGACCTCTCCAAGGAAAACTATACACTTCTGAAGAAAGAGATTGAGGAAGACTATAGAAAGTGGAGAGATCTCCCATGCTCATGGATTGGTAGAATCAACATAGTAAAAATGTTGATACTCCCTAAAGTAATCTACATGTTTAATGCAATTCCCATCAAAATTCCAATGACATTCATTAAAGAGATTGAGAAATCTACTATGAAATTTATATGGAAACACAAGAGGCCACGAATAGCCAAGGCAATACTCAGTCAAAAGAACAATGCAGGAGGTATCACAATACCTGACTTCAAACTATATTACAAAGCAATAACAATAAAAACAGCATGGTACTGGCACAAAAACAGACATGAAGACCAGTGGAACAGAATAGAGGACCCAGATATGAAGCCACAAAACTATAACCAACTTGTCTTTGACAAAGGAGCTAAAAATATACGATGGAGAAATAGCAGCCTCTTCAACAAAAACTGGTTAGCAGTCTGCAAAAAACTGAAACTAGATCCATGTATATCACCCTATACCAAG